ATTGACCTCTCCTTCAGGCACAACCAGAGCAGAGCCTCCAATGAATGCTTCTCCTGGTAGAAATGTGCCCAAGGCTCAGGTGCAGGTGGGACTCTGGTGGAAGCTCCTCCCATTGAGGGAGGACCATTGCTCTGGTGATTGCTCTGGTATGAGTGGGGCTGAGGGTCCAGTGCGTGATGTAGCAGCAGGGTATCTCCAACAGAGAAATGGCAGTGGATGCTGGCTGAGACACAGGTACTCTTTCCCAGAGGAACTTATTGTGATAGTTTCTGGAGGCTATTGCTGGAAACCACTGATGTTTTCTCACCCAGTGTTTATTCCTTCTTCCTGAGCCTGAGGTTCTGGTCTCCCTCTGTTGCTGCTTCTGGGCTGATGGTTCAGGCCTACCTCTTGTCATTAGGTTCTTATGCAATATAATTTGGAGAAATTTTGCTCTCTGGATATTGTAGAAACTTGAGTTGTTACCAGGATGTTGCCCATGTTTCCCCTCTGCTCCATAGTATGCATGCTCTCTATCAAAATAAGTTCAGATGAGATGCATAGAGTGTTCTATAGATGCTAGATAAGCTGTATTACAGTGTAATAAGGAAAAGTGAGACTAAGCAACCACTGCAAGAAATGGCATGCCTATTGAGAAAGCGTAGACATTAGAGGGGACCACAATGGAGGGCACATATTTGAGGAGTGAAAGTATAAAAACCAAGACAGACTGTTGTAATAACCTACATGTTGAGAAAGACCTCTTATTAATTACTGTTTAGTTGTTGTGATAAAGTACCATGACCAAAAGCAACTTAAGGGATATTTGATTTTGACTTACCATTTCATAGGGCAAGATATCAATAATAGTGCAGAATGTATGAATGTGGGAACTGAAAGCTGAGAGAGCACATCTCAACCAACAGCACACAGGAAACAGGACACATGATCTGCATATAGGAGAGGTTATAAACTCTCAAAGCCCATACCTAGTAACATACTTCCTCCAACAAGAATCCTGTGTGAAAAGTTCCATAATCTCCCAAACATCACTACCAACTGAAGAGCCTATGGAAGTGTTTCTCATTCCAACCACCACAATTTCATAGTATTTATTAAAGTTTCTGGAACACACATCTTTCCTGAGGGCTGTTTTGCTGTTCAGTCAATTGGCAGGCTCATTTACATACAGATGAACTCTTAAGGAAGGGGACAATAGTATGTCTTCCTTCTTCCATCCCACAAAGCTGCCTGCAAGTGGCTTGAGGGGCTCCAAAGGTACAAGATTCATTTGTTTGTATCTAGGGTGGACTCGGGCAAATGTAGCTATTGTTGTGTCACCCGTGCTCTGTTGTGGGAAATTTGTATCCTTTGTGAAGGTGCATAGCTAGACAGGAGGTATAGGTGGAACTTCTGGGCAGAGAGAGGAAGTAGGAAGACAAATCTCGGCATGTGAGAGAGATGTGAGGAGACACAGAGGAAGCAGGATGGGTAGTATATGACAAAACATAGATGAATAGAAATGGGCTAATTTAAGATAGAACAGCAGTTAAAAATAAGCCTAAGATAAAGTCAAGTTTTCTTAATTAGTAAGTCTCTGAGTCATTATTTGTGAGCTGGTGGCCCAAAGAAAAATCCTACTGCAATAAATTGCTACTAATGGTTTTATGGATTCTGCTTTCTCTTAAGTGAAAGTAATATCCATGTACTTATGTAAGAATTGACATTGTCATTCACCCTGCTTACCTAGGCATACAACACTAAAGCTTGAGACAGAAATAGATCACATAATGTGCAATGTCCTTCAAGGACCAGGGACAACTATAACAGATATCTCTTTAATGCTGTATAATTCAGCATTAAATTTGGTTGGATATAAGGCACTCTGGTAGTTTGAATGTATTGGCCCTCATAAGCTCATAGGTAATGGCATTATTAGGAGGTATGACCTTATTGAAGTAAGTGTGGCCAGCCTCAGGGGTGGGCTTTGCTCAAGCTTCACCCAGTGTGACACTCAGATCACTTCCTATCGTCTGCGGGATCAAAATGTAGCTCCTTCTCCACTCTCAGCTCCTTGTCTGCCTGAATGCCACCATGTCCTGGACTAAACCTTTGAAACTGTAAGCCAGCCAATTAAATGTTTTCTTTTATAAGAGTCTCCATGGTCATGGTGTGTTTTCACAGAAATAAAAACCCTAAGACAGAAGTTGGTGCCAGGGACTGGGGTATTGCTGTGATAGGCCTGACCATGCTTTTGTTTAAAGGCATATGGACCTTGGGACTATGGATTTAAAAAGCAATTGAATATTATGAGTACTGCTTAATGGGCAATACTAGTGGAAACAGGGAAGACATGGTACTGAGTGTGATTTGATGAATTGTGGGAGCCTGGCTCAAGAGGTTTCAGAAGGGAATATTAATATGTGGCCTAGAGATCATTCTTGTGATTTGGTGAAGAATATGGCTGCTTTTTGCCCCTGTCCAAAAAGTCTGCCTGAGGCTAAAGTGAAAAGTGTTGGATTAATTCCATCATTAGAGGAAATCTTAAAACAGCCTAGTATAGACTCTGCCATGTGGTTATTAGTGTTAATTCTAATGAAGATTTATAATGAAAAGGAACAAGCTAAGCATGAAAAACTATTTGAGGAGCAAAAGAGCACCAGAAAGTGGAATGGAGCAAAACCTTATATTCAAGGTGATAAACAGATTAAGAAATGGAATAAAGCATGCTTTTAATCCCAGTACTTTGGAGGCAGAGACAGGCAGATTTCTGTGAGTTTGAGTCCAGCCTGTTCTACAGAGTTAGTTCCAGGTCAGCTAGGGCTGTTACACACAGAAACCCTGTCTCAAAAAACAAAATAAAAAAATGGAATAAAGGAAGTGGTGACCTCAAGGCAAGATTGAATCCACTTATATTTCCAACACAAGAAAAGGAAGTAAAGGAAAGTTTAGAGACAGGTATGGTGGTGCACACCTTTAATCCCAATACAGGGAAGGCAGAAGCAGGTGGATCTCTGAGTTTGAGGCCAGTTTTTCTACGAGCAAGTTCCAGAACAAGCTTTGGCAGTGAAGGTAACCACTGAAAATAGAAAGCTGGTAAAGATGTAGTTGAATGAAAGGCCATGGTCCAGCTCCAGGAAGCAGCAGAACTTGGCAGCTTCAACCACATAGTTCTAGCTTTATGGTCAAGGACAGAAGAAACAAGTTATAAAATACTCCTCTATGACTTAATGAAAGTCACTGGGGCCAGACATTATTCAGGGATGTCCCTGAATGGAGGCCATTGTGTGAAGCTGTGAAATCAAAGGCTGAATTGCCTTTTAGACCCCAAGATGTTAGAGATGCCAAGCAGTAGGGTACCTGCCAAAGAGAGCTACTAACAGTGAGTGGAACTAGCCCAGGAGGAAAAAAGGATGCTGCTGTCAACAAAGCTGAAAGGAATTGGAGATCTGAAGAGCTTTTGACATGAAACATGGAGATACAGAGTTTGGAGTTTGCCCAGCTGGGATGGCAATGTATATCCTGTGGCATTATATGTTGGAAGTATGTGATCTGTTTTGTGGGGTATTTTTTAATTTTTACTTTATAGTGGATTACAGAGGTTGCATATTGCATTATGATTTTATTACAAGCTTATGGGGGTCATGGAATGGAAGGTGGTAGTTTGAATGTAATAGAAACCCTAACAAAGACAGGTGTGCATCAAAAAGTACATGTGTTGAAAGCTTGGGCCCCAACTGCCAGCACTGCTAACAGGTGATTGGATCATGGGAGTATGAACCTCATTAAATAATTATTCCATTAATGAGTTTATACTCAATGAGGTATTAAGAGGAGCAGCTCAGTTGAAGTAAGTAGATCCCTGGGCCATGTCTTTGAATTTCAAAGGGATATTTTTTTGCTAGCCACATCTGTCTCCTATCTGCAAGAAAGTGAGCCAGTTTATTCCATCACATGTTTCCTAGCATCATATTCTTCTATTGAACTACCAAGGACCAAGTGAAATAGAGTTCAGTGACCATAAATTAAAACCTCTAAAACTGTAAGCCAAATAAATCTGTTCTCTATTGTTTGTTTGAGTTATTCTGTCACACTGACAAAAAAAATTTGACTAACACAATAAAAATAAAAATGTACAACTGATACTATGGGAACAATATCTTGTTACCCAGGTGTCTACTGTATTACATTCTAGTGATTCTGAAAGGAGGAAATTAATTATATTTTTATTTAAGACAACTCTCTTAGGATATAATTTAGTGGCAAATGCGCCAGAACAAATGTCAATGTTGCACATTATAAGCAAAGACTTTCTTCCTATATCCCCAAACTCAGAGTAAGAAAATTAATACTTGCCGTGGAAAGTATTACATAACATGATTCTGGAAGTATCTGTCATTGCAATGGCAATATTATCATAATCAAGTTGAGGTATTCTGATTTGACCACATGTATGAGAAGTGAGAGGAGAGGGCAATTTATTCCACCCCAAACAGCTAAGCTTTTGTTTGTTTGTTTTTGTTTATCTAAACAGGAGAAAGCATCACAAAGCAGGCAGAAGTAAAAGAGTTCAGGCAGATACAGAAGAAGTATCTGTTCCTCATGTTGCTACTAAATCTTCACTGGCTCCCCATCATGCTTCAAAGATGATCTGAAGTGTATTTGTAACCACCAGTTACCATTCACTTCAACCCATTGCAATCTAGTAGCTCAGGAATATTTGTACCATTTTTCCTTCAGAGAAGCCTAATGGTCATTTAGAATGCTCTAGAAATTATGCCCTGTGAGCCTGCAGCTTATTTCTGCTTTGCCCATGGATTAACCAGGATTTACATTTGTAAATGCTTGCAAAGTTTTAAATAACATTACTATTTTCAGTATACAGAATTACAAATTTAATTGGAATTTACATCATCTTCATTACATGTTTCCCTTATTGTCATGTCAGATAATGCGGCAAACTGACAGAAGCCTTACAGATGACAAAGTAGAAATTTCATGGTATAGTTCTTTACAGAAACAAAACAAAACAAAACTGCTAACCCCTCACCTAAAGGGCCACAGCCCTCATCATCATGCTTGCTTCTTTTGGCTGCACTTGTGTAGCTCTCGGTCAGGTTGCTCCCTTCTTATTACAGAGAATGTTGAAATACTATAAATGTTTAGAGGCAAAAGTTATTTATTAACATAAATTGTTTGTAAACCAATTCAATGCTCCTGTATACATACATGTATTCCCAAGGTCTTAAAATGCCTGTCTATATTTCCAGTGACAATGAGAATGATCTAAGCATATTTAATGGTGAGTTTTAAATGCCAACATGTAAATCTTTTTGTGTTTCTTTTACAAAGCAAGTATCCTGTGGTTTATCACTAACAATTTCCTTGATATTTATGATTACAGAAGATTGTTATGGTGATGAAAATTTTAGGAAATGTAGGCCTAAGATTTTATTTGTACAGATATTGGGTTCTTACTTCCTGACATTTCATTACATGAAAAACATTTTTCCCCTTCAAGTCAAGATATTATCACTCTCTGCCCACATGCATTTTCTTGTAATAGCTTCCTTCATCATCCAGGGAGAGATCAGAGACATCCCTCCATGGAAAGTAAGACATGGTACTGGTCAGGAGATAAACAGCTCTACTTCCCAGTAACACCATCAAGGCCACTCAGAGCTGGCTGTTCATATCTGGGATGAGATGTTTCTTGAGAAATTTCTGTATCTCCTTCCAAGAATGCTCCTGTGCAGCCGCATGTAGAATAACATCTCCCCCCCAGCTGATGCTTGGGATCACATAGGGGATTCTTGAGGCAGAGCACAATGGGGCATAGGGAGGCTCAATGAGGTGACCTGCCCCAGGGTAAGACAGCAGAGTCCAATTCTTCTTTCCACTTTTTATCAGCTGTGCTGTGGCTTGATGAGCATGCACTTTGCTGTTGAGATTCTTATCATCTTCTCCCACCACGAAAAGGAAATGTCCTTGAGCTTTTTCAATGGGCAAACAATATTTGATATCCTTATCTGCAGTTTCCTCATAGGTGCGATAAAACTCTGCAAGCCCTAAGGCATTGGTGGTTACAAATTCTATATTGAATGGTATGGGCTGGTTGACCTGACCATGATATACATGTGGATCACTGGTAACAAAATTAGGCCCATTGATAAGTACAGTGGCTTTTATTTGTTTTAGGTTAATAGCCATGGAGAGTCCAACCTCTGCTCCTTTGCATACAGAAACAACACCAACACCTGGGCCCAAGACCTAAAAATGATATGTTATTTTTTTCATTAGGAAATCTGCAATTTCAAACAATCAAGAACTTCAACAAGGAATAATAACAGGCAATTAAAAATAAATAAATAAATAAATAAATGTCCCACCCAGATGCTTATATGACAAGTGGCTAGAGTTCTGCAATGCAATTTGTTTATTTAATTGAGTTTTATTATAAATATATTGGAATCTCCACTAAGCCTAGTTGTGAGTTTAAAATACTTTCAAGAATTATCACGCCAGGACTAGAAATATAGGTCTGTGGTGAGGTTTTTCCTTATCATGCAGAAGTCATCACAGGACAAACAAACAAGAATAACAAAACAATATAGCCAGGAAAACAAGCAAAGTCAATGTGTTATTGTAAATAGCATAAGGCAGGGAATAAGTAATGAGGAATGAGTTTCCTACAGAAACAGGTGAGAGCGAAGGAGTTAGGACAATGCATGGAACTTAAACAGAAAGCTTAGATCTCATAAGGAGATTTCAAAATAGAGTGTTTCAATACACATTTTATTGTCAGTCATCAACCACATCCAGCAAAGGAGTAATACCATTTCCTAAGACAACTACCCTACCTCCCAGATGAAAAGACAAGAGGTGAGGGCCACGGGAAGACAGCTAGATTATTAGAGTATCACACAGTCTGTAATAGTGCATACAGATAGGTTAGCAGGATCAAAGAGTCTCAGAAGAAATGGGTTGTAAATTGAATTTTCACACTTAAAAAAATGGAGGCAATAAAGAATAATAGTGATTCATGTGTGATAGTTACACAGAAAAAACATTCATGCACAATTTTAAGGCTAATATGACCTTGATTTTGTGTGGCAAGGTGATGTATCCACTCTCAGGGGATGCATTTTGATGAGTCTGAGACTATATCTTTTGCTACATATCTATTTAGTGTCTCATGTAAGGCCAATATATTCTACTCATGGATTTTCTTCTCACTCAAAATAACACAGAATCAAGAGATCAAAGTCTGAGTTCTTGACAGTTCTTTCTATCTTAAGATGCTGACACATTGACTCAGTGTCTGAAACGCTGCACTGATGGTTAAGATCAGAGAACTGCTGATCAGGAACTCTACATTTCCCAGAGAAGTGGTTTGTGGTGGGCTAAATGTCAACATAAGGCTGTTTGTTTTTGCTTTGTTTTCTTCTCATGGTCTACAACTCTGGAGATAGATGATTCAGACTTTGGTTCTGGAAAACATGTTCACAAGTTGTTTGTTTATAGATGCAAATACATACAACTTCTGAGGCTGTGGAGATAGCTCAATCAGTTAAGTGTTTGCCATGCAAGTATGAGGACATAAGTTATTCTCCCAGAACCTATGTAAAATCATTAGGTCTGCTGGCTGGCTTGTAATCTCAGTTCTGTGGAGATGGACACAACAGGACACTAGGCTCACTGGCCAGATAGTTTATCCTGATAGGGAACCTCTGAGCCTCTAATGAAGACCTTGTTTCAAAACCAAGGCTGCTGAAAAACAATACTCAAGGTTGACCTCTGTCCTCCACAAGCATGTGCACACTCATGTACACACATACACACACACACACACACACACACACACACACACACACACACAGAGGGTGAAAGGGGAGTCCTAGTTAGCAGTCACAAGTAGAACATCTAAACCAGAAAGAATAAAAGACAGCTGTTCTTTGTAGCACAAAAGACAGCCTTGGCAGATTCATACTTCAGTGTTAAGGCAAATAACATAGCATTGCAGTTAATGTAACACTGGAATAAAAGCAGACTAGTGAGCTTAAAATTACCTTAGGATGACTCAGGAGAAACTTTATACCTTCTTCAAAATACTCTAGATCTATTTTCTCCAGATGAGAGGGCAGGTCATCATAGCCCCAGTAAGCCAAAGCGAAGGCTGCAAAGCCATGACTGGCCAGAAGACTGGCCCGGAATTCAATCAGTCCACCAGTGCTCCCAAACAAGTCAATGACCCCTGGGAAAGGCCCTTCTCCTGGAAAAATGCAACATAAAACCAGTCAAATATGAAAATGAGAGGGAAAGACAAGAATATGAAGCCAACAGGCAGAACTGAACCTTGGTATTAATGCTTAAATTCGCAAATAGAGCCTTCAAATGTTCAGCCTTGTGTCTAGGGTAGAAGTAAGCTTTCTCAATATACAGTGAATTAAAATTTATTATAAACTTCAGGCATTGACATATTTAATTCCGGAAGCTAGAAGAGAGTTCATTTCCATGGTCTTTGAGTAAAGAAAACCATTTTAAAAAATTTTTACCAGGGCTTCTTAACCAATAAAGACTACAAAAATGAGCTTTGGGAAATCTATGAAGGTCCTAAACTTAGCTACAAAATATGTTGTCTGTTTATATATGCTTTTCTTCAAGAAATGTTACAGGCTGATGAAGGCTATCTCCAAAAGCCACCTAGGAGAGGCAAAACCTCAAAGAAGGATCCTAATTAGAGAGATTTGTGTCCTCCAGGGTGAGCCCTAACAGGGTCTAGTTAGACAAATGTTCTCTCTTCATAAGTGAAGGACATAGCTCAAAGATGTCTTTTATGGTTACACTGGCTAAAATGTCTTTTAAGAGCTGCAAGCTCAGGAGCTTAGTCTCAGGAAACAAACAAACAAAGGTTAAACACCCTTCTCTGATACACTCTGCTAACCACTAACAGAGGAAACACTTGATAAAACCTCCCATCTCAGAAGATGGACATGAGGAACTCGCTCTTTTTATAATTTCTCTTCCTTGCAGTCTAGAGTACAGAGAAAGAAGAGGGATGTCAGAGCATCAGTCCACACTCACTTTGTGTAGACAGCATGTTTCTCCATAAACCAGAGTCCACCCACATTGGTTATCATAAACGTCCCTATCCTGAAAGTTGATTTTAAGTAAGGAAGACTGGCAACGTCCATTTATTTAAACTCTGGCATCACATGAAAGGGGCACTGGTGAGTTTTTAAATGGCTGTTTCCTTTACTTTGAGAAATGAGATGACGCAGTATGTCTTGGTTTACAAACTACCATATAAGTACACTAGTAAAGCTGATGAGTGGGAAGGGAGGGAACAATGAAGGACCTGAGATCTTTTGACACCTATTTCAATGTCTTTGTGACCAAATGTATCTCATCCCTCCTTTGAGCTCCAGCAGATCATTTGATGCAAGAGACTCTACATACCCAACATCCCAGAAGATAGCAAATGACATGCCTGGTGCCAGCAAAGCAATCTGAGGCAGAGACCTGAACCAATATACACACTTTAAACAGAGGTGTGATACTTAAGAAACAAAACTAAGCACAATTCGATGGTTTATATTTTTATGGGTATAAAAGTATTTAGGCTATCTAAACAAGCTTGTTATAGCAAAACTGCAATACCATACTTAAACTGAATGTCAATATGTTATAGCTCCTGAAAACAGCTGTGTGAGTCTTCAGTCAGTCAGGCTCGAATGAACTATATTTAACATACATCCAACTCTTCAGAAACCTCCTAAAGCAGGAACTCTGCAATATGTAGCCTTACCCTTAGACAAGCTTCAGAACAGTGGAGATGAAACTTGAATTAGAGTGGAATATGACCTATTTTCTTGTTCTGAGCCAACATTAACTTGGATTTTCAGGCCCGATGGTGAGATCTATATAATACCCTCCTCCAAGCTAAATTTCTAGAGGCACAAGACATAACCAGAGTGATTCTACTCACCTGGAGGCAGAAAGAGGGCTCCCCGGAGGCGGCCTTCCTTTACATGGATCCTTGTGACATCAGGTGCTACATACCATCTTTCCAACGTCAGGCTATCCATTGGTGGACTGATAACTATACCTTTTATTGGCAAGTGTGGCTTGAAAAGTTCTATGTGGACCTGGTAGGGTCTAGTCACATCTTTCTTTGCCAGTCGACTCAACAGCTTTTCGGGTTTCAAGGACCAGAAAAGACCCATGGGGTGGACACCCATATAGTCTCCCCCAAGTGAGGAATCTTGCTCCAGATCCACCTCCCCCACTTCATTAGCCTTGTAGTAGGCCTTAGAACCAAACAAATTCCCTTTCTCATCTTTCAGTGATGCCTGAAGGCATACCAACTGAAAGGGTGTCAGGCCTGTGACTCGGATGTGCACAGGCTCATCAACAAGTGTACTGAGAGGAGTGGCTGTCAGCTTGGCCATTTTTGCAGTCAGAATCTTGAACAATTCTTCAGGAATATCTTCACCAAAACCTCAAAATAAAAGGAAACAGAAATGAAATACAGTGGCAATACAGTTAATGAATGATGGAAAGGACCAGGAGTCAGACCTCTTAAGATTTTAGGATGTATACAGTCCTAAAAGAAAATTAGTAGCACATTAGACCTTCAAAGACACAGAAGGCTTGCTGAAATGCTTTTTATATTGCCTTTAAATGTTAACACAAGAGCTACCACTCTTCCCAACAAGCAAAAGTATCATCAGATTTTGATCTACTTATCTGATTGTTGTGCTGTTTTCATTTGAACTCATTTTGCTAAGAATGCCACCCATCTAAATGAATCAAACTCCAGCCCATGACAAAATAGCTACTCTTAGGAGGCAAGAAAATTTCCCTCCTACTCTGCTATTCAGTTATGATAAAACAGCAAAAAGGAATCCCACAGAGAGATGTGAAAAAATAAGAGAAAGGGGGGTATACTTTTGATGAGTGCTAAGGTGGAACGCTGAGAAACTCACTTCAGAGCTTGTCTCCACTCATCCATGTCTACAGATCATTACCAGAAGCTTGACAGTACATCAAAGATTGGCTGCAGGGACACATACTGAGATTAATCTGTGGGTGGTTTTCAAGCTTTCATTTAAAATATGGCAGCTGTCTTTCAAAGGATGAAGGCAAAGGAGCAAAGAAAGCTTCCTGTGCTGTGGAAGCCAGGAGTATTACCACAGAGCCAAGCAAATTCCTTAGTGACCTTTCTTCCAGAACTCTGCATCAGAAAATCGCATTTTAAGAGGCTAGCAAATGGTTGCTAAAGCTAAAGATCCTCCCACAGAGTTCATGACTGTCAAGAATCCAGGCTCTTCTGATGAGAAAGGGTTTCACCCCATCAAACATTGATGAAGCCAGTGGTGCACTGAACTCAATAAGTCTGACTGGTCCAAGACCCAACTCACACTTGGCTCAGATCAGAGTGATTAGCCCCAAATCCCAATACAATACGGTCAAGCTCTTTTACTACATTTAGTGTGTGTGTGTGTGTGTGTGTGTGTGTGTGTGTGTGCATGCGTGCAAATGCACACGTGTATATATGAGAGAGAGAAAAAACACTGATGGGAGTTGACTCTCTTCTTCCACCATGTGGACCCCAGAGATGTAACTCAGCTTGTCAGGTTTGGGAGCAACTTATTTTATCCACAGACAATATAACTGATCCTCTTTCCCCCCCACCCCAGGTATTGTTTTCATACAATACATCCAGAATCCATTTTTTATTACTATACATAAAGATTATAAAGACTCATGGTAACAAGAGAAAAAAAAGCACTATATAGAAAGAGAAATTAGTTCAGATGTTGGAATCATCAGACAGCAAATAGAAAGGAACCAACAGATATAAGAACAGCTCAAACTAAACTTTGAAAAGAAAAATCAAGATGAAAGATTAGAGCACTTGAGACATGGGAAAATATTTTAATATATATGGTTTAATATAGAGTATAAATTCTCTAATAATGGGACCTTGGAAAGACATGCTAGAGATAGGCACAGGAGTAATGCTTGCAAAAACTAGAGTTGAATTGTCCTCAAATCATTAAAAAGCACCATGCTACATTCACAAAAAATGTAATAAATACAGGGACAAAAACAGCAAAATCCCAGCTGTCATTATAGTCAAACCGATAACACACACACAGCAAGTGTTAGTATAGCGAGAGGAAAGCGGCAATGTTACAGAGGAAACGAACAAACAAAATAACAAACAGGAGACAATAAACCCTCAGTGCTCAAGAGGAAAGAGAAAAATAAATAAAAGCAAAGTGCCTGAAACTCCTTACCTAACAAATATACACATCAAAAAATGAAGGCAAAAGGAAGAGGAAAAAAAAGAGGAAATACATCTACAGTTAATTATATTTCAAGAAATGCACTATGTAAGGGAAGTTATTCCAGGTAGACAACTTAATGCATCTGAGAAATGAAGAGCAAGAACACATTTATTATCTGGGTAAATATAAAAGCCCTTTTTATGTGAACTTAAATACAGTTAAAAGTCTATAGGCTGTTCAAAATAAAAGTAACTGTTTTATGAAGGCTATAAAAGAAATATGGCAAATAGGTGGAAATGTGATAAATGTGCTTCTTATATCACCATTTTTAAAGTAATACAGGGTTTCTACAGGTAGTTAGTGATAACTTACAGTAATAATGAAGAGCCCAATGGGATAGGAGACGATAGATATGCGAGCTGCCAGATGTTAGAATGATTTAAGGAACAAGTGACAGAAGAGGATGCAGTCAGTACTCACTCACTCACTCAGCGGTGGGACAGCAATGACCTGAAATGGAGATATGCTCAGGGTCAGGTCAACACACATGCACAGGACCTCCTGCTGACTCTCAGTCCCAGGCTCTGAAAACTACAGCCTACCCAGTCAGAGCTGGGAAACTTGTCTCCTCAACCAGGCATCTGTTGCCTGAATAGAGAGTGGTGCCTAAGAAGACCTTGGAACTTGGACTTTGGATAAACGCCTCATCTAAAGATACTAAAAATAAAAGAAGCAGGGCCTACTGTGGAAAAGCACCAACAAGCTTGAGTCTTTCCCTGCAACTCTCCCCTGAAACTAGCTCCTGTGCGCCCAGCACTAGGGAGACTGAAGCAGGAGTGAAGCTAAAGCTAGCCTGGGCTGCATAGAGAGATCCTGTCTCAGAGCAAAACAACACCAAAAGGAAATTGTCTCTGTAGCACAATGAAAGTCTCAAAGGCAAGGGAGTAAAATCATCTGAGATTCACTCTTGCACATGTCCCAGAGCTGGAGACACCACTTCCAGAACATGTGATCCTCCAAGCGGTCTGCCTTTAGGAGCCTGTTGGGTTTCCTCCTATCACAGCTGAAAGGGCAAGATAGAAGCATCTGTAAGCTATAACCATTTCCTATTTGTCAGAGAAGGGATAAGCCCCCATTAGAATTCAAGTGAGGAGAGCAGAGACTTTTTGATAATGAGGTAACTATCAGTAGGACAAAGGGAGGCCAGTATGGGAATATATTTATACACTCTTGTGTAGCAGGCTTTATCAGGCTGCCAGCCCCCAAATCACGATATAGAGACTTACTAGTTATGAATGCTGCACCTTCATTAGCTCTTGTAACTTATTTTAACCTGCTTCTCTTCATCTATGTTTTGCCTTGGGGCTCTTTACCTTTCTTTCATTCTGTATGTCCTACTTTCCTGCTTCTTCCTTGTCTGGGTGTCGGGTGGCTGCCCAGCTGGATGGCCCCAGGAATCTATATCTTCCTCCCTAGATTTCTCCTCCTACTTATTCTCTCTGTCTGCCAGTCCTGCCTATCCCTCTTCTGCCTAGCTTTTTATAACACATCATTACCAACATTTCTGCTTATATTTGTACTGTCTTCTGCAATCCTTTGGAAACAAAACCTGCCACAGCAGTAATAGGAGAATAAATGAGATGATAAATTAGACGATAAATCAGATGAATGGAAAACAGTGACCTAGTTAAGAAATTCTAACACAATTATATGTAAAATTGCTTTATGGGGCTGAAGAGATGAATCCATGGTCAGGAACACTGGCTGTTCTTCCAGGAATTCATTCCTGGCACTCTCATGGTGACTCATAACGCTCTGTAACTCCAGTTCCAGAGGCTCTGGTGCCTTTTCTGGGGTCCATAACACCAGGCACCAAGTGGTACACAGACATATATGCAGGCAAACACCCATACACATAAAATAAAAACAAAGAGAAAAATAGGATGTTTGAAGGGAGGCATGATGGCTAATCTTGGTTGTCAACTTGACTACATCCAGGAATGGAGGGCATACCTGTGAAAGATTTTGTTTTTGGCTCAGTTTGAAGTGGGTAAATCCACTTTTAGTCTGGCCATTTGAGGTAGGAAGACACAGACTTTTGATTAGGATGTTGAGTTGAGAAGACACACACCTATAATTCAAATTTTGAGGTGGGAAGGCATCTTCAATCTGAGCCAGACCTTCTGCTGGAAGCCTATGTAAGACAATGAGGAAGGAAGCTTTTTCTTTTTGCCTGCTAGCCCTTACCTTGATAGAACACCCATTTCTTCACTGGCATTCGAGCCTACTTCTTCAGGATTTCAGCTTATATTGAAGATTAGCTGAGACATTCCAGCCTTGTGGACTAAGCGACTACAAGATTCTTGGACTTGCCATTCACATACATCCATCTTTGGATTAGCTGGACTGCAGTAAGTCACTCCAAAAAATTCCCTTTATTTATAAAGAGATATTCATTGCTGGGAACCTTTGTCATTTATTACAGAAATAGCAACTAATATTCTAGGTATCAACTCCAGAATATTTGTTACTATGAATTTAGCTGTGTAGAATACGTACTGGGTACTTTATATTCTCAAATAGGTAGGCCCCAGAGAAAGAATGCCTTCTCATGGGGAGTCAGCAGTAAGACATGCAGCCTCTGGATGTCACACTACATAACCTTAATTTTTCCCTTCAATCAGTTAGCAACAGGTGTTGCAAATCACATCCGCCCCGATGAGACTTAAGTTTGCCAGGCCAGGTTTCCAAGTCATGCCCAGGGGGAAGACTGAGGCACCTGCTTTTTTCAAGACCTTACCCACCTTCCTGGCTCTGAGAGATATGCATGCCCTATTGTCAGAGAGCTGTTAAATGTGCCTGTGGGTATAAAAACTTGTGGATTAGGAGGAACTTGTAGACTTTTTAGAGGGATCACAGGATAAGTTTTAGAAGGAACTTTTGGAGGCTTTTTAGGAGAACTTTTAGAAGGAGGAGCTTTTAGAGAATTCTTAGAACTCTAGGAGAACTTTTAAGGAGAACTTTTGAAAGAGAACTTTAAGACAGCTTTTAGAGAAAGAACTTTTAAGGAGAGATTTTAGAGAGAAATAAATCTTCAAGAGAGCTTGTGACAGAAAACTTTTGGGAAGAACATGAGAGGAATGTGTGTGTGAGCCAGTTTACTTCCCTCTCACTCTCAGACTCCTTTTAGAAAAGCCCTACCTACTGCTGTCTAGCCCCTAGCCTGGACCCTGAGCTGGAGAGCATTGAGGCTGGAACTTGAATGCTGTCGTTAATTCATTCTGTAAGTTCTGTCACTCTGTTACTCTAGAGAACCCTGACTAATACAGGAGGGAGTTTGCTTTGTGCCTTATCCAGGTTTCCTCCTGGATGTTTGATATAACAACACAACAGTAATTAATTTACTTTGAGGTGTTAAACGATATGCAATGAATGGTTGGCTAAGGGTGGTTCCTTTACATATGGTGGGGGGGAGATAGGTGTGAATAAATATGGATTATCAGCCTATAGAGAGAAGTGCTGAGGATAAAAAAAAAAAAAAATCTCTAGTTGTCTCTTCACAGACTCTCAGAATTTACTTAAGATCATGTAGGAATGAAGAACGGAGTCAGGAATAGAATCCATTATCTCCAACTCTGTCAAACTGATTAATAAGAAATTTCCCAGTGAATTCCTGAAAGATTAGGAGCAGCCATGTTCCAAAATGTAAAATCCCTTCTCTGCATTAGCATGGTCCACTAGACTTCTCTTAGATTTCACTTGTCAGCCAGGGTGTCAAAACAGGAGAAACTGATTCACTGTTGCATAGTCATGAGGTTTCCACTTCAACTCTCTTCAGATTAATTCTAACATATTATCACCCTATCATCCTCACCTTAAAAGAAAATTTCTCCTTCCCTCCCTCCCTTTCACTGTGTCTCTCTCTTTCCGTTTTTTGAGACAGAGTTTCTCTGTATAGTCCTGGCTGTCCTGGAACTTGCTCTGTGGACTTCAATTCACAGAGATTAAATAAAACATAAATAGTACAGCTTAGTGTTCCAGACTTGAGAATTTTCTTTCCTGCCATATTCTAGAAAGCAGTGTTAAAAAGAGGGAGGATTACTCATGGAGATCTGGACAGCTTAAAGGGCAATGAAGTGACCCTTACAGTTCTTCATGTCCCTCAAAAACATCCAGTGATCACAGGTCCCTAATGACATCCTTTCTATGCAAAATCTGCTGGAAACAGCACTATGTTGCTAGCACCTCTGGGAACTTCAGCACTCTCCAAGATTACAGAAGGAGCAATGGGAGTATTTGACCTCGGAAACTACTTGATGCCAATTACTGCAGGAAAAAAAAAAAAACAAAAAATAAAAACAAAAATAAAAAAAACAAAACTGACTTTTATTTTCAGTTTAGGAGTTGGGATTTATAACATATTTCAATCAACTCGAAGCTAACAGCTTTGATTACAAATCAATGTTTCTTTTCGCACTTGAAGCTGCTTTTCCAGCAGTAAAGGAAAAGGGCTTAATACTGGTTACCCAGAACCAAAACCTGTTGCTTTTGACAACACAGGTCATATTGGATCACAGAGCAAAGGGCATCAGCTTAACCTCTGCTCCGACCCTCTTCCCACTCTAGTTACCTATTAACATATATTGTAGGAAACCTAGCTGACTTTTCCTCCTCCCTTTCTGCTTTGTTTTAGGAGATATTTTAGTTTTTTAAATATGTATGTTTTATATAATATATATTATATATTTTGTGTATACATACATGGTGTGGGGGTGGGGGCGTCCATGCACACTTTCACATGCACCAGGGTCTGTAAAAGGTCAGAGGACAATGGCCTAGGGTGCTTGGGCTTGGTTACCTAATGAACAATCTCCCTGACCTCTTGTTTGTTTAAACCTCTACTGCCAGTATTAGCACATCTGACCACTACATTTAACAAAGAAGAAAAATGCCAATGCAGCTTTGCAGGACTCTGAACTCGCAAACATTTCTTTCCAGGCCTGAGTTCAATACTACAAAACTAAA